GATAGATAGATAGATAGATAGATAGATAGATAGATAGATAGATAGATGACAGACAGACAGATATTAATTCTTAGATCATTGTTCTTACTCAGTATCTTTCCATTCTGAAATTCCTATGCATGAACACAACATAACAGATACATGAAAGGCCGAAGAGTCAACTAGGTGTCATACCCCTGTTGGAGTCTGAATCCAAGGAAGAAGACAAACAACTGACAGGGAGTGGGAGTGTGGCTCTGTTGGCTGTGGAGGAAACTGGGGAAGGGCAAAGTCTGGCTGAGCAGAGCAGGGGAGAGGTAGAATATGGGAGAGGGAGTTCAGAGGAAGACCCAGGCCCACCCCCTCTTCATCCTAGGGTACGCAGAGAGGAATGGAGAAGAGAGCAACGTGAGTTGCATGGCTTCCAGGGGAGGAAAGGCCCTGATTCCCTTCATTAGCCATAGTTGGGAAGAGAGTTTAAAAGAGATGCATGCTGAGTGCGGCAGCTGCTGGGAGCAAACATGAGTTTATCTTGTGTTGACTTTGGTTATCTGTGTTCTTGGCATCCTCCCAACTGTGTTGAGTTATTGCCATGCCTTCACATCTGGAATTCTTGCCCCTGCCCTGCTGGACTAATTACCTTATTTTGCCTTGATTGGACTTATAGTTACAGTTTTTGTTGACCACATTTTGGACTTGATTCTCTGCAGCCAAAGGCTGTTCCTGGGAGAGTTTTTCTCCAGCCAGAAAGTAACCAGGACATTGGGGGCAAAGTTGGAGCTAATAAAGAGACTTCTACTGATTATCTGACTCTGTTGCCTTTGTGCCATGCCCCGGGTCATCACACGAGTCTTCTAATTTAGTGATGAGAAATCTAGATATGCCGCCCCACCCACATTCCATTTTTATAGTTTCAAGAGGTCTAGAAAATCATTCTGTGAAATTTAGATGTAAACTGCCAAAAATAACAATGTAACATGTCATAAGAAACTCATAAGAGGAAGAGGAAGTGATCTATAATTGCTTTAAAGTTAGATACACAAAGAGATAAATGGATACTTCATATTGCTGTCTTTAACTTGCATTGCCAGGAATAAATGCTAGAGTTATCCTGTGCTTGGTTTGCTTGAATTTAATTATGATTAATATTGTCTGATAACATCGTAAACTGTTTCAGAAAAAGAAAGTGAAAGGTTCAAACTCTGCCTCCTCCTGCCTGTGTTAGAAAAAAAAATAGGGAAAACACACAAAGCCAAAGCTCATTGTGGTTCATTCTCAGTATGTGGCATAATAATTTAATGATTAAATTCATGATTTTTGTGTTGCCAGTTTTCTCAAGTGTTTTTTCTATGCAATGTCTTTAAACTACTTTTTTAGCAATTATATTCTTTTGCTATATTTTTTCTTATACATTTCTATCATAAAATATATCATAAATCAGGATTTCCATATAGATTTCCCCACACACACACACACATTTGACTGTACTATAACTGTGTTCAATATATTTTCAATTTTTCCACTGTGTTTTGTTGGTTATCGAACTGATCAAAAGTTGAGTTATTCGAGGTCAACAAAATCAAATTAGTCCTTGCTGGTTGTATGGTATTAGGATTCAGAACTACCCTATTCCTTGTTGATTGAACTGTCACTGTTTTGCGTTTCTTACTGCTATATCTGTGTGCTAAACTCTTGCCCATAAAGGAGAAAAATATATGTGGTAACTCAGGTCTGCTTAGTGGCTTATATGAAAAACTGGAGTGAAGATTTGATAAGGAACAATACCTTCTGCCTCTTTCCATGAAGGCTTTTTGAAGATGCTGTGGACAAACTGAATCTGATGGCTTTGGGAGGTTTCCTGTACCAGCTAAAAAAGGCCTCCCAATCCCAACTCTTCCAGTCAGTTACAGACACAGTCGATTACTCTTTGGCCATGCCAGGTATGCTTCTGGAACAGGTATTTTTAATTCTAATTATGGATGCAAAATTGTTAACAATACATGTTCAAGAACGTTAATGCCTGTCACATTCTAGAATGCCCTAATGATGCACTAACTTTATTGTCTTTTTGACACCCGCAAATTTATTTTAATTCTCTCAGGCATTTTAATCAGTCAGTCTGCTAATTTTAAGGATATATGATGCTTAGTAACTTTTGAATTATTTTGCTCACTGCTTTTATTTTTTTAGTGTTATATACTTTAACTACTTGATTACTGGGTTTTATTGTATATTTTAGAAGTTTTTAGAATTGCATGGTTTGTATTTTATTGTGCTGTAGGTCACACTGGGGCAAACTTGGTTTTGAAGGGTTAATTTTAAAACGTAAATATAATGAATGACTGAACTAATAGCAGGAAACAATGAAGAAGTTGGATGTGTATGTAGATATTGTGTTATTTTAATCTTTTAATTCATATTACCAGATATTCTACTCATTCTTAACTTCTAGGAGAAATAAAATCCACTCAAGAAAGAAGTGCACTTCACTTGTTCCGTCTAGGAGGAGCCATGCTCCGAATTGTGAGGAGTAGAAAACGGCCTTTGCTCCATCTTATGCGTTGTTGGCACCTAGTGGCTCCTCACTTAGTGGAAGTGAGTGAAATTGGGGATGGGAAGAGGAAAAAAAATTATAGAGTTTCTACTATTTTCACATTGCAATTTGCACCCCAATATTTTTATTTTATTTTATGTAGAAGAATGAAAAAAAACTGCCTCATTTCAGAGATTTTAAGACAGGAATATCCAACCTTGGCAACTTTAAGATTTGTGGATTTCAACTTACAGAATTCCCATACTGGCTGGGTTATTCTGGAAGTTGAAATCCACAAGTCTTCAAGTTGCCAAGAGTGGACAATCCTATTCTAAGGAAGTATATTAAATCAAAATACAATACTGTACAAGGAACAATGTACTTACATTAAAAAATAAGAAACATTCATGGAGCAATTTTTTTCTACCTGTTTTATTACCAGAGGCCTTCTGGAATAGCCCTATTTTAACTATTCTCTGTAAGGCCATAAGAGTGGGGCCACCTTGCCTTCACATTTAAGTTGTCCCAAAGCAAGGAAGGAAGCAGCCATTAAAAACATCTGCATCAAAATTCTGTTCTGTTCAGCTTCCTGATTAGAGGGAACTACCAGGTGCTCTCCATTCACCTGGATCAGGTGGTGTTCTGACCAAGGCTTCCTGAGACAGTAACAATCTCATGCTGTTCCCAAAAACCTTTTGTTTTATTTCAACAGCTGTGAATTATATGCATTCACAGCCTGTAATGAGTCCCAAACGGTTTATGAATAGTTGAACAGAAGTCTGCCACAGTCTTTCGGGATAAGGCTGATAAATACCCACTTTATCTCCCTTGAAATGCTGCCAACAACTAAATTGTCAATTAGCTGTACAAGGCCAAAGGGAGAACAAAGTCCACACGGAGCTTCAGAGTTTAAACCGACCAGAACGAACAAAGTTGCTTCCTGCAAAGGCTCATGTCCCTTTGCTCTTCCTTTATGTCTTATGCGAGGTGCCAATCATCTCTAAGAATGTCTGTGTTTTCCTCAGTTTTCTTGATCTGCCTGTTATCAACAAAAAATATTATATATTTTGCTTCTTATTATCTCGTTGCAGGCTGCCTGCCATAAAGAAACACATGTTTCTCGGAAGGCTGTTTCTTTTATCCATGACATCCTTACAGAGGTTCTGACAGTTTGGAATGAACCGCCTCATTTTCACTTCAACGAGGCACTTTTTCGTCCCTTTGAGCGCATCATGCAGCTTGAACTTTGTGATGAGGACATTCAGGATCAGGCAAGCTAGATTTTGGTTAAGGAGGAAACTGTCCTCAGGTTTTTAAGTTTTGATTTAAAAAAAAGATTATATGCATGATGGATGCAGTTTTGCATTTGTTTATACAGGTACGGTAGTCATGGACTATTTGTAGTTACCACAGATCTCTCCAAAACTACTTACAACCTGCTTTTGAAATTATAATGGCCTCACACAAGCTGTGTGGTCACATGATTGCATTTTGGGCTCTTGGCAACTAACTCACCTTTATGGCCTTTTGCAGTGTCTCGCAGTCATGCAACCAGAATTTGTAACAGTTTTGCTGTTTTCCAGTGTTTACTTCCAGTTCCCAGACAAATGATTGGAGAAAATGATTTCTTTAACAGCTACAGAGTTTGCTTTTAACAGGATCAGCATTCTGTATAACACATTACTGTGAATAGCTGAAACAGAAAACACTGTATCAGGGTTTTAAGTAATACTCCCAGGATAAATAGGACTCTGAGGCAAGCAGGTTCCTTCAAAGGAAATATTTAGGAAATATTTATTGGAAATATCATTTTATTGGATTATATTTATTGGAAATATCATTTTGGCACAGGTTGGTGAAAACCAATTCTGAACATTCCCGTGGTTTTCACCAAGTTAAAAGTAAAAGTTTTTCCCCTTCCCCAAACAAGTCAGTCCAATCATTGTGTCGTCCAGTTGCCTGGTAACATCGCTCCACCTCTCTCTGAGCACCTGTGGGAATATCCTTGGTTCCCAAGAGAAAGTATTTTGGCTACAACCCCCTCTATCTCTAGTCCCCCCTCTCTAACCATCAGCTCCAGTGTTGCAACACTGCAGCTCAATAAATGGCCTTGCTCAGGCCAGCTTCAGGATTGACACACTGATCAGTTGTATCAGGATAGAGGTATCCCACACAAAATTTAATTTAATTTAATTTTTTTTTAAATTTTATTTATTAAACTTGTATGCCACCCATCACAGGACAAATATTTTTAGTGCTACGATTAGAAACATATAGTTGATAAAGAAGCTGATTGTAGTAATCCATATCCTGGTGTTTTTTTTATGTACTCATACGAGATTCATGAAGGTGTAATGCCATGTTTAGAACATCCCCCAATTTAGGGCTTTCATTTTTCAGGAGCTCCTCAACTCAGCTCTGATATTCATATTTCTCAAATTTCCCAGTGTCTACACCACTGTAGTGTATGAATTCACTTGGTAAATAACCTAACATAGATTTCATTATATGTACAGTAATTCACCGGTTAATGGACCTTGTGAGTCTGAACTACAGGTTGTCTTTATTCACAATTACCTCATACATGTCCGCTTGGAGTTATGACAGCGATGAAAAACTTTGATCTATCCTCACATTTATAACCTTCACCAATTTGTAAAGCAAAGTTGAAGTAAGGTCACAAGCACAGTCACAGTTTCATTCATAAGCCAAAGTGCCAGTCCCAATGAGGGGCCTATCTGTAATTCATTTGCTTGATCCCAGTGAGTGTGTTCTGAGCCTAGCTTAGTCAGGATCCAGCTTATCATTTTCTTTATGTTGGTTATTTTCTTTATAATGCTTTGGTGCTTCAATTATACCAGGTGGTCACATCTATAGGAGAGCTGGTGGAGGTGTGCTCAACTCGAATTCAATCAGGCTGGAGACCATTGTTCAGTGCTTTAGAAACTGTGCGCAGCAGCAGCAGCAAATCAGAAGTTAAAGAGTATCTTGTTGGAGAGTATTTGATGGGTGAGGTTCTCTAATTCTCTCTTCCCCCTCCTCCTGCTTTATGAATTAATTTCTGAAAACCAATCTGTTGCAAAATATTGAAAAATACTGACTAACCTGGTAAATTACAGCTAATACAAAACTTCGTTGCAAAATATTAAAAATAATCAAATATACTTCCATTTCTATTTGATAAATAAACCTTGATTTTTATTGCTTCAGTTTTTTAGCTTATTTCAGGAATAATCTAATGATTAGGACTGATTTTTAAGAAATATCACTATTGCCTTTGTGCTTGATTTTCGAAGCTACCCGTAAAGCTAAACAATCCATATGATAACTATTTTTACTCCCTAATACCTCACAGTTTCAGCATGAAAATAATCTGTGTTTATTTTTGTTCCTGCTGACCTCAAGGTGTTAGGTATATACAGGCAATGCCATGCCTACTGCTCAATCTGCAGAAGCCTGCACATCCTCAGGTTAATGTATTCTCTCACTATTAGGGCTGCACACCCACAAGGCTTCCCATCCAAAGTAGTGACTGGACCTCAGGGAGAATAACTTTTTAAAGAATGAGGCTCAGCTTTCAGCATATCAAGACTAAAATAACCTATTTGATTACTTTAAAAAAAAAGTTTGAGTGTGTTTATCCCCGACTGGTCTTAAATTTCTTCTTTTCTTCTGCTCAGCTACACTGCTGTTCCAGTAAGAATTAATTCCCTTTTTATATCCCTGTAATCCCTTAATTCAGGAGAGTCAGGGGTGGCTGTGTGGAGTTGAGCATTTATTTACTGGCCAGGTGCCTTTCCTGATGCCACACTAGAGTTCACAGCAGATATTTTTTCTTTTTGTCCGAGAAGAAAAACATCATAGGATTGAACTCCCTACCTTTCAAATGGGAGGCAAGGATCTTCACCACTAGACCAACACGCTGCTCAAATATTACAGAAAACCACAACTAACAAAACCTCCAAACTACAACCAACAGCCTTTGCCAACTGAACTGATGTGAAATGTGCTGACCCTAGTAACCATTTTTTTTTCCTGAAAGTATTCATCCCTCCGGGCATTTAATAATTAACAGTGATCCAACTGGTAGTCAAAGTCCAAATCAGATGCTTGACTGATTGGACGTTCTTCTAGCTTCATCTCCTTCCATACAGAACAGTTCAATCAATAGGATCCATGATTATTTTGCAACTATGCAATGAATTATGTAATTGCATAATCAGATGGAGATGCACAGTACTTTTATTTAAGTGATTTATAGCTTATCTCCTTATGGTAGGGCTTTATCAGCTTTATCAGTGGAACATGAAGCAGCAACATGTAGATTACAAAAACTCATACTTTCTAATGCTAACGACTATTGATTTGGATTTTTTTCCAGTCCAGATATGTTATTCTTATACATGAATGAATGTTCTTATAGGAAGCTGCTTCTTGCTGAATTAGACCATTAGACCAACCCCTTTATCAGAGGTTATTAGCAGAGGTTCTACAAAGCTGGACATGGAATTTTTTCACATAAAGGTTCCAGGGATTAAATCTATGGATTTCTAATACCACCATAATTATTAGTGTTGCAATAAGAATTAAAAGTTCCTGTTTTGTTCATAAAAACACATTGAATCTCTCTTGGTTTAATTTGCCATTGGAAACATCGCCATGTGCTGGAGTCCTAGTACCCCCATCTTTGCATAAACCTGCTTGGGACTTAACTTTGAGACATAATTTTAAAATGCAGATGGTATACTTCAAAAAAAGCCCACACCAAATAACATTATGTACTCTGAAGCCATTCAGCTTCTAGAAAATGGAACATTTTGTAATCATTTAAACATTTTCTTTGTCTTTTAGGAAAATGCCAGGCTCCAGTATTTGATGTCTTTGAAGCTTTTCTAAATACCGACAACATCCAAGTCTTTGCAAATGCAGCCACCAGTTACATCATATGTCTTATGAAGTTTGTCAAAGGATTGGGTAAAACTCTTTTTTTTTAGGGGAAAAATGGGCAAATTTTATGTCATATGAGGATTCCTGTCTGTTGAAACAGATGTCAAGCAGTGTGTAATGGAGGATAGCCAACACCAAAAAACTGCTTCTGAATGCAGTTAAAATTACAACAATACCCTCATAACTTTCCAAGAATGCTGAAGAACATTTTTGCATTATATTTTAGATAGCTCTTTTGCTGTTTTCTGAGGCTATCGTTTCCCATATTATGCCTTCAATTAGCATTCATTAACAACTGTAGGAGAGTTTTATGCAGCTTTCCTAGTGCTCTAAATTCAGAATTGGCAAGCCTCTAAAACCCAGGAGTGCAGACAATCTTCCCAAAGATTAACAAGACAATCAGCATTTTTTTTTTTTTTAGTTTTAACAGTTTTATTAGGCTATAATATAAAATACAAAAACACAAAGGGGAGAGAAAGGGGAAGAGAGAACCTTAGAAAATAAAATAAAAAAGATAAAATGGCGTAGACTTCTGACTCCCTCTGGTGCAGTAGAATAAGGCATTAAACATCAAACCTCAACTTTTTACTTTTGCATAATAGTATAAACTAGCCATTTCTATAGCAACAAATCCATATAATCAATAAAACCCAAAATCAAAGTGTCCTTTTTTTCCCCACCACAAGCACAAAGTCCAGAAATGGTTTCCAAGTAGAAACAAAAATACTTATATTCTTTTCTTTGATCAAAATAGTCAGTTTAGCCATCTCTGCTAACGCCATCAAATTTTGCAGCCATTCATCCATTGTAGGAATCAAAATATCCTTCCATTTTGTGCATAGGGTAGTCTTGTTGCCATCAACATATGTACGGTCCAACTTTTTTCCCCCCACATCTTTTTCAAAGTCAGCATTTTTTTTAAAAAAAAAGCCTTTTATTTTAGAAAGAAAAATGCAATAGAAGGGCACACTTTGGCTCCACATGATTGGGCACAATCAAAATGGAATATGTTGAACCCTGAGGAAAAGCTAGGCATACGTGGGCACTCCTGTGTTGTATTTGATCCCTGAATCAAGCCAACAATTTCTGCCTTCTCCTACCTGTTAATCCTTTGAAAACCCTGTTTTATTTTTGTGCCTGAGTAAATCTTTCTGGATTTGATTGACAACACGGTTCCTTGTTTTATTTTTGTACCTAAGTAAATCTTTCTGGATTTGATGACACACAGTTCACAACAGCAATTGTCTTTTAATCTATCATGTCTCATTTTCCTTTCTCTCCTCACAGGGGAAACAGATTGCAAGGATATTGGTGACTGTACATCAGGATACCCATCTACAGATTTGTGCCTTCCTGCTCTTGATTATCTCAGGAAGTGTTCCCAGGTGAGCGGATTGAAGCCATACAGATTCAGCCGTCATTCCATCAAAACACTTAAATTAGTTCCTAATCAGAGGCTCTTACACACAGTGAGCCTTTCATGTGCATTAAGGACCTGGCTTAGTGGAGAGGGCTACATATTTTAAATCTCAAGTGGTACATTCTAGACTGAAATAGCATCGGGATTTGTGGGTTCTCCTATTGTTTTTATTATAATGCCTCATTGTTCACTCCTGAGTGTGTAAAGTGGGAGAGGAGTTTAACACTTAAATTCTATTTGTCACATTTACTGTTAAATTCCCAAGTAATTAGTAAACAGTTGAAAGCACATGGTTAGAAAAGGGCCAGTGAAATTGAAATCACAGTGAAGATTGAAGAATTTAGTTTCAAAGTTATAGTATGTAATGATCCCCATTCTCATATTTACCATTATTTTCTTCTCTGCCACCTAATCATTGCTGAAATTAGTTCTGACCAGCTAGACTATCAAAAAATGAAAAATACTTTAGCAGAGTGTTTTTTTTTAATATATAGCTTAATGTCATGATAATGATATGCCAATGGAAATCCCAAACCAATTATACCATGTCCGTCCCTTTTTAGCTACTTGCCAAAATCTACAAAATGCCCTTGAAGCCTATTTTTCTCAGTGGGAAATTTGCTAATGTACCCCAAAGGGTCCAGGAACAATCCACGAGCAGCGAGGATGGCATTGAATGTGTCCTTTCTGAGTTTGATGACGACACAGGTAAACAAATATGGCTTATCTAATGAAAAATGAACTTCAATATCACGTACTAAAAATGTGCTTCCGTAGTTATGCCATAAGAAGTTCATCAGATGGATTCAAATTTATTCATTGAAAAATATATATATTGTACATATTTTGGTGTGTGTGTGTGTATTCTATGAATGTGTGTGTGTGTGTGTGTGTGTGTGTTATTCAGCTTTGTTCGGGTATTTTCCCACGTCATTGTAGTTGTGCTTTTAAAGTTGTAGCAACGTTTCGGCAGAATCTCATCTGCCATCATCAGGCTTCTGTATTGTGTTCGTCTGTGAGTCAGACTTTTACTATAAAAGTCTGTAAAAGCCTGACTCACAGATGAACACTATACAGAAGCCTGATGATGGCAGATGAGATTCTGCTGAAACGTTGCTACAACTTTAAAAGAACAACTACAATGACGTGGGAAAATACCCGAACAAAGCCGAATGCCATACATGTAAGTACCCGCGAAAACTTAAGAATA